CCATGTAGACAGGGTCTCTCATAGACGAGGCTGAGGATAAGCTTGAACTCCTGATCCTCTACCTCCCAAGTGCTGGGAATACAAGTTTATACCACCAAACCTGTTTTTTGTGTGGTCCTGTAGATTAACCCAAGGCTTCATGAATGCTAAGCAGCCATTGGACCACTGAGCCACATCTCTTGCCCCAGCAATCCTATTTCTTGATCTGAGGAATACATATGCTTGCTTTTTACTAGTCATGAAGCTGATGCCTATGTGTAAAGCATTTATTGTATAGATGTTATCCTTTATAATTTTCCAAAGTTTAAAGCATTAAGGCCAGTAGATCACTTGGAGGCTATCATTGAGCAAGGTCACAGATTGTAATATTAGATAGCACATTGTTTGAAATTTCAGTTCTACTGTGAGCTGTGTGGCTGTTCTGTGAGAGTGTGGTGCTGGGGAGTTGAACCTAGGGCCTTGAGTGTGCTAGATAGGCATTGTGTCGCTAAGCTGATGGCTGAATTGTGTATCTTTAAGTTTTTCTAAATTGTGTTTATTTGTTGATTCAGTAGGAGGTACGCTATGTGTGCCATGACATATGCATGGAGATCAGAGGACAGCTTGCAGGAGTCAGTTCTCTCTTTCTACCATGTGGAACTCAGGTCATGAGGCTGGTCGGCAAGTGCCTTTACCTTCTGAGCCATCTTGCCAGCCAGAACTATTTGTCTTTTGGTAAAGTGTTTAACTATTTATGTCTTAGTATTTGCTATATGTACAAAGTATGGAGGAGACCAATATGATCAGAATGAAATATGAACATTGCCTTTGTGAAGTTTCAATTTGATAAGGAAGCAGTAATCCTACAAAGCTAAAATTTGGAATTGTGGTGAGTGCTATAAAAAGTATAGGTCATATCAAAAAGACCTTATCACAGATGATTTGATCTATTCAGGTAGATCAAGAAGGCTCCTTGGGACTGGAGAGATTGCTCAGCAGTTAAGAGCACTGACTGTTCTTCCAGAGAACCCAAGTTTGATTCCCAGCACTCACATAGCAGCTCACAACTGTCTGTAACTCCAGTTCTGGGAGTTACATTCTATTAGAGTGTAATAGAGTCCAACACTAGCCTACATGGGCACCAGGCATGCACCTGGTGCACAAACATACATATAGACAAAATATCCATATAAATACATTTAAAATAAAATAATGTTTTTAAAAAGATGTAGATTTCTCATGGCTGAGGACATAGCTCAGTGAAAGAGCACTTGCCTGGTATGTGCCAGACTCTGAGTTCAATCTCTGCCATCACAAGAGAAGGAGGAGAAAGAGGAGAAGGGGGAGGGTACAAAAAAAGCTTGTCTAGGACATGACCACCAAACTGAGATCTAAGCAATCATTAAATGGTAGCCAGGTTAAGAGGACCACAAGGAATGTCTAAGGCAAGAGAAAACACACAGCATGCATTGGCAGGATGCTGCATTTAGTACTGGCACTAGGAAAAGACATAAGCAGCATGGCACTAGCATCTGCTGTCACAGCAGGCCTGCCCCTCCCAAGGTTCCCTGGCCAAACCAAGGGACAGAGAGATTCCTCAATAAGTAAGGATATCTGTCACCAAGCCTGATGACTGAGTTCAGTTCCCAGGATCCATACGGTGGAAGAAGAGAACTCACTCTCCGAAGTTGTTCTCTGACTTGCACACTCTCGATGTGGTACATGCATGTGTGTGAATACACACACACACACACACACACACACACACACACACACACACACACACACACACACACACACACGGGTCTAGAAAGATGGCTCAGCAGTAAAGAGGGCTTGCTGCTTTTGCTGAGGACCAAGATTCAGTTCTCAACACCCACACAGTCGTTCACAATCCCCAGTAACTCCAGTTCCAAGGAATCCAACTCTCTCCTCTGGCCTCCACAGGCACCGGGCAGGTACAAAACTGCATAAATACACATGCAGACAAAACAACACTCACACACCGAAAATACAAATCTTTCTTTAGAAGAGGAGGGTGCTCTTGGTGGTGCACACCTTTAATCTCCCATCACATAGGAGGCAGAGGCAGGCAGATTACTGAGAGTCTGAGGCCAAGCCTGGTCTACAGAGTGAGTTCCAGGCCAGCCAGGGCTAAAAACAACAACAATAAACACACATACACACACACACACACACACACACACACACACACACACATACACACACACACACACACACACACATTCACACACACACACACACACAAGAGAAGTCGGAACTGAAATCTGAGCTATGGAAGTAGGTTTGTTTTTTGTTTTTGTTTTTGGTTTGTTGTTTTTTTTTGTTTTTTTTTTTTAGTTTTTGTTTTTTGTCTTTGGAGGGGGTTGTTGCACAGGAAATCTACACATAAGTACATATGCTGTTTGATTGTTGCCACCAAGGCAGTTAGCAGCAGCTTTGAGTCACAGAATTCATTCTGAAATCTCAGAAACATCAAGTCCTGAGAAAACACCAAGAGCTTAAGGTGGACTGTGGGTAGTAGTCAAGCAGAAAACCTCCCATTTGATGGCACTATTTCCCTGGGCCAAGCTGGTCCACTGCCCAATCCCTCCCCACCCAAAGCTATTTTTCCGGTGTCTCCGTTGAGCCTTTAGGTGGGGCTGAGGGTGAAACTCTTGTTTTCCACTGGAGGACATGAGTCAGTGAGCAGTGAGGTTCCACTTAATCACCACCCCAAAACAAGGTTCTTAAAAATCAGGAGCAAGGAGAGTACGGAAATGATTAACACAAAGCCAGGACAGTGATTGACCCTTGAGTGCGGTGGGGTAGGTGGAGAAGCCTGCGGAGGTCGGGATAGTCGGGGATCTTCTGGAGTTTGACAGTACTGGAGTTCTTGATCTGAGTGGTGGCTGCTCTGGCAATGGTCCCTTTATCATTATAGTCACACATTATATGTAGTTTTCTAAATATATACGATAGCTTGAAATTACAAGCAGCTAAAAAACAATACAAGCTGTAAAAAGTTCTTAAGCCGAGAAAAACGTAACTAGGTTTATATCATTAAAAGACTTCTTGGGGCCAGGCATGGTGGCACACACCTTTAATCTCAGCACTCGGAGGCAGAGCAGGTGGATCTTTGAGTTTAATGCTCATCTGCTGTACAGAGTGAGTTCCAGGTCAGCAAGGGCTACATAGTGAGACCTTGTCTAAGAAAATTAACTGAAGGTAGGACAAGGCTAAGAAACAGAGAAAACGGTCAGGAGGTGGCTGCCACAATTTGGTGAGAGACTCCAATGACTTCTACAAGGGGTGAAAATAGAGAGATACAGTCTGCTGTTTTGAAAAATACAACCAAAGTAAGACAGAAGCTGGCACCGCCTCTGAGCCCACTTTTCCCTCGCGACCCTGATAAATTGGCTCAAGAAGAACAGTCAAAAGACAACCAAATATCTAAGCAGACTCATGGGCAGCTCTACCCCGTGGCAAATCTACCCTGAGGACTTGTGGCAGAAAGAATAGAGTTTTATGACACCATGACCATATGAGAGTTGAGCTGGCATAATATCTCAGCATCAAAGTTGAGCTGCTATATGCCAGCCTACAGTGACATCTAATCATGATACCCGTTCAGTGAAAACTTCATAGAGTGTTTTCTCATCTAGTATGTGGTCCTAGAATGCTAGCTGTGGACGACAAAGACATTTTGTTCACTGCTGTATCTTAGGGTGAAGAAACAAAGTTAGTGTGCAGTAAGTGCTCAATAAATATTACTGAATGATCTCTCTCTCTCTCTTTTTTTTTCTGTGACATGGTCCCTCTAAGTTGTAGGTGCTAGCCTTGAGCTCACAATCCAACTCACCTCAGCCTTCCAAGTAACTGGGACTCTAGGCACCTCCATAATACCTTGTTCTCATTTAATTATTATAATTATTTGTGTATAATCATCACAATAATCTAATGAGGGTAGATAAGACATGCAACATTATCCTCATTTTGTAAGTTAGAAAACAAAGATTTTCTTCATTTTTCTCAATTCAAAGCTGAAGGGCTAAGGCTTAACCTTCTTATAGTTCTAAAACACCAACTGGAAGCATTTCAAAACACAACAGGCTGGTGTGGTTGTGCATGCCTTTGGTCCCAGCACTCAGGAGGCAGAGGCAGGAGGATCTCTGTGAGTTCAAGGCCAAGCCTGATCTACATAGCAAGTTCCAGGCCAGACAGAGCTACACAGTGATACAAACAAAAAACACGCAAAACAAGAAAATCAAAATCATGACAGGTCTGCAGGTTCCACACTCTCCGTCGCCCCTGACATGGAGAGACATAGCCTGCCCAGCTCGCACTGGAACTGCAGCAACCCTCTGAGAAGATTCACTGTCTTCTGGATAATCAAGTCCACCTGTTCCCAGGCCCCCTTACACCCCATGTCCCTCACTTGTCTCTACTCCCTACTCTGCCCAGGCCACCTCTCCAAACAGTAGAAGTTAAAGACACCCAGTTGTCACAAAAAAAAGGAAACCGCTTGTTCTAATAATCAACATGTCAACAAAGGGAAAAGATAAAAAAAAGTGGTAAACGGTAGTTTTGGTGTTCTTCAAAAACCTGTCATCCAAATGATATCCTACAGGGAGTCTAAAAATGCCACACTACGTGAAAAGTCCTCTTAGCTGCTTTCTTTTTGGTATCAATTAAAATTAGCAATTTGAAGCATAAATCATAACTCAAACGCTCTCTCTAGATGCTCAAAAGGTGTTAATATTCATGCATCTGTATATACTTTCCATAGGATTGATAAACACAGAAGAACCCGCAAACACATTAAAACCAGCGTACCTGGGAAAACGCTGAGCACAGATACAATAAAACTCAACCAAGTCATGTTTTCAGGTTTTCTTCCCCCTCTCCTCCGAGCTCTGGTGTTCACTTTGTCCTTACAGTAAATTCAGTCTAGGCAGGTTAGACCACAGCAGACCGTTAAACAGGATAGCTAACTCCTCTAAAACCATCACAGAACTCACCAGAAATTCATTGGCAAACTCCTCCTTGTTAATTTTCTTTTTCTGGGCCTCACTCAGTAACTGCTGCAGAATTTCTCTCTGGTCCATGCCGCAGAACAAGAGTCTGTGAGTGAATGAAGGGAGGGCATGTCAAATGTGTGTCATGGCCAAGACACCACCAAGAAGCCACTGCTGCTGCCTGAGCACAGCATGCTGGAGGCTGTGGTTTCCTGACGTCATCACAAGCCCTAGAGGAAATTAGTGCGAAACCAGCTTCTGTGGTCACACAACAAAGCCATCATCTCCCTCCAGGGCCCTAGCGCCTTCCTTTCTCAACAAAGAAACTCAGCTACAGTTCAAATGTAACAAAGAGTCTAACCAGAACAGTAAACTGTGGTCTGCTTAGGCTCGGAGACTGTTCCACTGTGCCACCTTCAAAGGGCACTCACCTCTCTTGTTGCTTCCCAGGGAAAAGGCAGAAGCACAGCTCTAACGTAAAGGTGAGTTCAGCCTTGCCACATCCCCCGTGAGCAGAAAGGTCTGGGCGACAGCTATCGCTACCGCTCTGCAAGCAAGGAAACAGACACTGGAGTTACCTATCTTCTACCTGGACTGTTCTCCCCAAAGTCAGAGCAGGCCGTTTAGTTCAGAACTTGTCAGGCCTCTCCTATGGACCTCACGTTTTCTCTTAGAGGAAGCAAAGTCAACTGCTTCTGACAGGCAGCTCCCCCAGGGCTGGGGAAGTACTGGCTCCGTTAAGGGAAGTGTTTCATCTCTGCACCTCTGCAAACCTGTATCTGTTTTGCTCCTTATCTGGGTTCTGCATAGAAACATGGAGAGCTCTGCTCTGTGTAGGATGGGAAGCTCCCGGGAGGTGGTCAGCACAATATCCCCACAACGCACTGCTAGTCAATAGTGAAGGAACAAAAAGGAACTAAAACTAAAAATCCCTTTGCTGAGAGTAATACAGATTCTAGGTCAGAAAGTCTCAGGAGAATTGAGCAGAGCGGTGCAATCTGGAGTCCCAGCTACCCGGGAGTGTCACCCAGCTGGAGGGTCACTTGAGTCTAGGAATTTGAAACACCTGGGCAACAAAGTGAGAACTCTCTCTCAAAAACTGAGAGACATAGAGAGACAGAGACACAGAGACAGAGAGAGAAGAAAGGAGGAGTGAGAGGATGAGAGAGAAAGCCTAGAGGGCTGACTCTCATGAAGACACTTTGACGTTTTTATCCTGCAGCCGCTGTCTTGGAAAAGATCCCATTGCAGGGAGCCACCCCATACTCATGGCCTTGGTGCCCTGACAGACAGGCTGTTCTAGAAAAAGCTTCCACATCTCCGTTTGCATAAATTCTCTTCAATGGGTACAAATCCACCCAAAATCTAATTCAGTGTGAAAACACCCCCAAATGAATATATTATCTTTAAAGGAGGAAGTTCAACAAACAGTATGTTACAAAATTAGTCTCAAGCATGAAAACTGGGAAAGGTGTAGTTCGGACTTCCTCAATCTAAGATACTGGCAATTCTTTCTGGTTTTGCATTATTCAAATCTCCTTCAGAAAAATTATGATTTTGAACACAAAACATGCTGAATCCTCTCAATTGAGCCCTTGGTCAGCAACTTGAAGTTAATATTCCAAATAAAGGGATTTCAACTGTAGTTCACATAAATTAAAATTAACCATTATTCTTGAGCAATATTTCCTGAAAAGAGAACAATGTCTCAGATTATCCTCATCTAGCATTAAAAGGAAATTTCTTACCACTGTAAATAATACAATGTTTGACTATTTTAAAACATAGAAAATATGGAGAAATTTTATTTTTAAAAAGAACATAAAATTCTTCAGGGCATAGTGGTATATATTTATAACACCAGCACTCAGGAGGCTAAGACAGAAGAACTGCTACAAATTCCAGGCCTGCTGGACCACATACCAAGACCCTGTATCAAAAATAAAATAAAATACTTTTAAAATTCCAAGTTAATTATAAATACAATTACATAAAAATATGAAATTTAAGCCAGACTCAGAAAGACAGGTATCACATTTTCTTTTCTCAGATAGGAATTGAGGTTTAAATGTGTGTGTGTGTGTGTGTGTGTGTGTGTGTGTGTGTGTGTGTGTGTATGTATGTGTGTGTGTATGTATGTGTGTGTGTATGTATGTGTGTGTGTGTGTGTGTGTGTATGTATGTGTGTGTGTATGTATGTGTGTGTGTGTGTGTGTGTGTGTGTGTGTGTGTGTGTGTGTGTAGAACATGAAAATAGAAAGAGACTATGAAAAGGAAGAGATTTTTAATTTTAATTTTATTTTTTATTTTTTTGGTTTTTCGAGACAGGGTTTCCCTGCATAGTTTTGGTGCATGTCCTGGATCTCGCTCTGTGGCCCAGGCTGGCCTCGAACTCACAGAGATCCACCTGCCTCTGCCTCCCTAGTGCTGGGACTAAAGGCGTGCGCCACCACCGCCCGGCAAGAGATCATTTCAAAATGTGTATTATCATTACTATTAGTCATACATAAATGGATTGCTTTGTTACATTTTCATCTTGTACTTAATGTATTTTGATCACACTCCCTGCCAATCCACCCTGTTATGCTCTCTTGTCCCCCCTCACTCCTAAGCCTTTTCCACTCCCCAGCTATGCCCCCCACCTTCACTTTTGTGTCTTTTTTATTTTTTTAATCCCAGTGAGTATCCTTAGGGTTGTTGACAGGGGCATTGGTAGTTTACTATGGTCTGCACACTGAAGAAAATTCTCTCTTCCCCATCAACCATTAACTGCAGATAAATCTTCAGGTTGGGACCCCATGTGACAGAGTGTTGGCATACTAAATCTTGTGTAGATCCTGTGCAAGTAATATAGCGTGTATGGGTTCAAGAGAGCAGCACCCAAGTCACACTCAGAAACCAGCATTCCGCACCTCCTCAACCCCTCCCCATGGCGCGGACATTCTTTCTGTCCCTCCTTTGGTGCGGTTCCCTGGTTTTGCAGTAGGGTGGTGAATGGCGGTACAGATGTCCCATTTATTACTGAGCACTCAGCATCATTTCTTCTCAGTACTTTGACCAGTCGTCTCCACAGCCACTGCCTACCACTGCAGAAAGCTGTCTGATCAAAACTGAAAGCATCACTAGTCTATGGGCATAAAGTTATTTAGAAGGCAATTAGACAGGTACATCACGTTCATTTAGCAAAACCACAGCAGCAGGTGCCTTCCAAGCGCCCGTGACCTCCCCAGCCAGAGCTTTTAACCAGATTTACTGTAGTGCTCATGGTGAGGGCATCAAATCCAATCAGAAAGCTGCTGGTTACCCACCTAACAGGCATGCTGCTATTGCACCCGTGGGCTCATATTGCCCGTCCAGTAGGTATCATTGCATACAGTGTCTACAGCTAAATAACAATGCTGAGGACAGTCCTCCCCCAGCAGCCTGCAGAGCACCGTTCAGCACGATGAGGTTTAGCCAACAGGAAGGAAGCTTTTTAACACCAGCCTGATATCTGCATGTCCTGCAGTCAAAGTGTGTGGCACATTTGGCAACAAGGTCTTGGTTCTGGTGGAAAGCCAGCAGCAGTGGCAACTGCTTGTGTGTGTGTGTGTGTGTGTGTGTGTGTGTGTGTGTGTGTGTGTGTGTGTTTGCGTATGCGTATGTTTAGGGTCAGAGGCCTTCCTGGCCAACAACTCATAGGGGGTAGCCTGCCTCTGGCATTGGAATTTTCATTTAATAACCTCTGGTTTCTAACGGCAGCTTTATTCACCCAGGTAGTTATATCTGTTCGAATTATTTTATTTTATTTTATTACTTGACTTCCTTATGGCTTTTTCATACATTGTTGGTTTTTAAAAATGTTTATTTTTGAAATATGGTGGTATATGCCTTTAATCCCAGGATCAGGAGACAGAGGCAGGCAGATCTCTGTGAGTTTGAGGCCAGCCTAGTCTACATAGTAAGATTCTGTCTCAAAAAAAGAAAACAAGTAACTAAATAAATAAAAATAAAAATAAATAAGTTATTTTGCTTGTGTTAAAAATATTTTATTTAATTGTATGTTTTATGGATATAAATGTCTATATGCATGCCATATGCATTCCTGGTACCCACAGAGGCCAGAGATGGCATTGGATCTCCTGGAACAAGAATTGCAGGTGGTTGTGAGATGGATGTGGGTGCAGGGAATTGAACCTGAGTCCTCTGGAAGAGCAACCAATGCTCTTAACTGCTGAGCCACCTCTCTAGAGCATACACTGTCACTTTTGTTTGGTTCTCTTCTCCCTTCCCCCCCCCATCCTTCCCAGTCCCTGCCAAAGCATTCCCCCTCCCAATATTCCCACTTGGTGCATTCTCCTTCCCACTCCCCAGAGACCCTTTTCTCCCTTCTCATGGCTCCTGTCTCTACACACTCATTCTCACATAAATGAGAGTGAAAAGCTGGGGTCTGCACGTGAGAGAGAACATGGGATATCTGCTTTTTGAGTTTGAACTACCTCACTTAATACAATATTTTCTAGTTCCATTTTCCTGCAGATTTCACAATTTTGTTTTTCTTTGCAACTGAATAAAACTCCATTGTGTAGCTGTACTACATTTTCACTACCCATTCATCAGCTGATAGGCATCTAGGCTGGTTTCATTTCCTTGCTATTGTGAATACAGCAACATTAAACATGTATGTACAAATATCTGTGTGGCAGGATATCCAGTCTTCTGGGTATATGCCCAGAAGCAGTATAACTGGGTCATAAACAAATTCTATTTTTAATTTTTTTAGAAACTTCCACACTGGTTTCCACAATGGCTGCACCAGTCCATTACACTTCAACCAACAGGGGTAAGAGTTCCCCTCCCCGCATTCTTGCCAGCTTTTTTTTTATTTTTTATTTTTTTAAGATTTATTTATTTATTATGTATACAGTGTTCTGTCTGACATATCTATGCAGGCCAGAAGAGGGCACCAGATCTCATTACAGATGGTGGTGAGCCACCATGTGGTTGCTGGGAATTGAACTCAGGACCTTTGGAAGAGCAAGCAGTGCTCTTAACCTCTGAGCCATCTCTCCAGCCCCCTCTTGCCAGCTTTTGTTGCTGTTTTCTTGATGAAAAGCATTCTAACTGGCTGAGATGTGTTGTTAGTTGTTCTTGCTCTTTTGGGGGAGCCTGCCACCCAGCTCCCAGAGAAATCACACATAGAGACTTATTCTCACTTATAAATGCCCAGCCTTAGCTTGGCTTGTTTCTAGATAGATTTTCTTAAATTATCTCATCTATCTTGGGCCTTGGGGCTTTTATCCTTCTCTTACTTCTGTATACCTTTTCTTTCCTTCTCACTCCATGTCTGGCTGGGTGGCTGGGTGGCTGGCCCCTGAAGTCCACCTCTCCTCTCTCATTCCTTCTTCCTCCTCCCAGATTTCTCCTTCTATTAACCCCCTCTGCCTACCAGCCCCGCCTATCCTTTCTCCTGTCTTGCTATTGGCTGTTCAGTTCTTTTTTTTTCTTTTATTTTATAATTTAATTTAATTTTACATATCAGCCATGGATTCCCCTGTCCTCCCTCCTCCTGCCCCCCCCCCCCAGTTCTTTATTATACCATCAGGTGTTTTACACAGGCACAGTAACACAGCTTCACAGAGTTAAACAAATGCAACATAAACAAAAGTAACACACCTTAAAATAATATTCCCCAACAGAGATGGAATGGCACAGCAGTTTTTATTTACATTTTCTTTATATCTAAAGGATGTTGAACATGTTTAAAAATATTTACTGGCCATTTGTATGTCTTTTGAGAACACTCTGTTCAGTTCCTTAGTCCACTTTTTGACTGGGTTATTGTCTCCTAGTTGTTTAGTGGTTTTGGTTCTTTGTATGTTCTGGATATTACATCTTCCATTAGACAAGATTGTCTCCCATCCTGTAGGCTGTCTCTTCACTCAATTAACAGTTTTCTTTGCTGTACAAAAGTTTTTAATCTCATGAGGTTTCATTTATTGGTTGTTGGCTTTATTTCCTGGGAACCAGGGTCCTACTCAGAATTACTTTACCGTATATCTTTTTAAAATTTCATATTTATTATTAGTACATGTGTTGTGATATGTGTGTGCATGGGTATAAATGACACATAAGGCATGTGGAGGTCAGAGGAAAACTTTTATGGAGTTGGTTTTCTCTTAGGATCAAACTCAGGTCACCAGGTTTGTGTAGGAAGGCTATCATTAAGCCATCTCACCAGCCCCTGATTCATATCTATATCTTGAATTATTTTTTCTATTTGTTTAATCTGATAATTTCAGAGTTTGGGGTCTTATGTATTCTACTGATTTCCAATCCCTACAGAATCTTTTTTCCCTTCTCATTGTCCCTGTCTAGGTACCTGACTCTACACACACTCACTCTCACATAAATGCACATGTACCAGTTAAAAGCTGGAATCTGCATCTGAGAGAGAGCACGTGGTATTTGTCTTTCTGAGTTTGAAATACCTCACATAGTACAACATAAGTCTTTGACTCATTTGGATTGATTTTTGTATGGAGCAAGAGATAAGGATCTGGTTTCATTTTTCTACATATAGGTATTAGTTTTCCCAGCACTATTTGTGAATGTATATATATTGGTAGCTTTGTAAAAACTCAGGTGGCTATATCTGTTTGGGATTATTTCTAGATCCTCTACTTTACTCCATTAGTCTGTGTGTCTTGCTGTTTTGTTTTGTTTTGTTTGCTATGGCTCTATAGTATAACTTGAAATCAGGAATACTGATACCTCCAGCATGAGTCTTTTTGCTCAAGACTGCTTGGGATATTGGGATCTTTCATGCCAAAGGAAGAAATCTTTAAAAAGTGGGGGGAAAGAGAGGATAATGTAGCATGAAAACAGAATAGAAGATTATTCGGGAGAGGAAGGAGACAAACAAAAGGGGAGATGAGGGATGGGAGAAGGCAGCAGGGGAAAGGATGAATGAACACAAAGTATAACAGCTGGGTATAAAAATGCCACAATGAAGCCGGGCGGTGGTGGCGCACGCCTTTAATCCCAGCACTCGGGAGGCAGAGCCCGGCGGATCTCTGTGAGTTCGAGGCCAGCCTGGTCTCCAAAGCGAGATCCAGGAAAGGCGCAAAGCTACACAGAGAAACCCTGTCTCGAAAAACCAAAAAAAAAAAAAAAAAAAAAAAAATGCCACAATGAAACCCATCACTATATATACTAACTTAAAATACTAATTAAAAATGAAGTATAAAGGAAATAAAAGTGAATCAATTGTGTATGACAGGATTAAGGATGCTTTCAATTATATCACTTTAATTAAGAAAAAAACACAGCCAGGCGGTGGTGGCGCACGCCTTTAATCCCAGCACTCGGGAGGCAGAGGCAGGCGGATCTTTGTGAGTTCGAGGCCAGCCTGGTCTACAGAGCGAGATCCAGGAACGGCGCAAAGCTACACAGAGAAACCCTGTCTCGAAAAAAAAAAAAAAATTGAAAAAAAAAATTAAAAAAAAAAAAAGAAAAAAACACAACAAAATCCAACAATTTGTTCAACAGAGTTATCAACTACCTACAAAGTACAAAGCCATAGGTTAGGGATTGGGTTTGCTATATAAGGGAGCCAGAATATGGTGCAAGACCTGCAGCAGCTACTAAAGCATCTCAGAACTAAACAGGTAGACATGACTATTACTTAAAAATAAAACGTTTTAAATTAACTTGCTTAGTGCAGAGTAACAAAATGAAGTTCTAAAAGGAAAATAATTTTCTGGGTCAGTAAGAGATAAGGTTTCAAAATGTCTTTGTTCCTTTGGAATGCCCTCACTCCATTAAAATAAAAACTTTGCCGGGCGGTGGTGGCGCACGCCTTTAATCCCAGCACTCGGGAGGCAGAGCCAGGCGGATCTCTGTGAGTTCGAGGCCAGCCTGGTCTCCAAAGCGAGTACCAGGAAAGGCGCAAAGCTACACAGAGAAACCCTGTCTCGAAAAACCAAAAAAAAAAAAACAAAAACAAAAAAACTTTGTTAGTTTATCTATTGACTAATAAGGAATTCTACCTCACCCTAATTCTATCACACCACAATTTTTCTCTTATTCTAAATCCCTAAAATATAAATTTTTATCTGGGAAAATATCTAATAATATTTATATCTATTTTCCTCAATTACAGAGAAATCTGGGGTGACTGTCCAGGCAGTCAGCTGTTTCTGTCATTCCTCATATTTTTTGGAAGTCACCTGCTTGCACTTCCTGCTTACTTAAGTAATATTATTTCCTTCTCGGGTCTCTAAGGGAGTTGAAGATTAGATAGTTATAGTTATAGTTTTCCTTGTTAACAAATTCAGAAAAGAAGCTCACTAAAGATGTGAAAGTGTATAAGTTTGAAAGACATCAAAAGATGGTTTTCAGTTGGTAAGACAAGTTCGGATAGAAAGTGAATTAGGTACAACATTTTGGACTCACCAAAATGGGATAAATAATGGAGTATTTTCTCTGAATCTGTCAAATGTTAATGAATTGGACATTGTTAATGTAATTCTTGACTGTATATATTATATATACTTATTGTATATAGTCTTTCTTACATTAGTTATATAACCTTTTATTATTTTAGACAAAAAAAGGGAAATGTGGTGATATATTTTGTACCCTAATAAACTTGCCTGAGGATCAGAGGACAGAGCAAGCCACTAGATTAGACATAGAGGTCAGGCAGTGGTGGCACACACCTTTAATCCCAGCACTTGAGATCTCATGCCTTTGCTTAGGAAGCACACACACCTTTAATCCCAGGAAGTAATATGGCAGGGCAGAGAAAAGTATATAAGGCATGAGGAAACAGGAACTCACTCTCTGTAGGGTGAGGATTTTGTAGAGGTAAGAACTAGGGGCTGGCTGTTCTGCTTCTTTGATCTTTCAGCTTTCACGCTGATATCTGGCTCTGGGTTTTTTATTAAAAGACCATCTAAGATTCGAACAGGAAGGAACTAGAAATAAATAAGAAACTGGACTAGAGGGATGGCTAGCAGTTAGTAGAGTTCAATTCCTAGCACTCACATCAGTTGACTCACAACTGCCTGTAACTCCAGCATCGAAGGGGATCTGAAGCCTCTGGCTTCTATGGGTACCTGCTTGATCATGTGTACACACACACACACACACACACACACACACATACACACACACACACTTAAAAAGAAATATTTTTTAGAAAGTAAAACTTTCTTAGATGCTGCTATATCTTTTACCTAAAACCTAAGCATCTGTAAGTAGTGTCTTATTAGAACTTCATAATTTTTTAAATTAAAATGTAATTATATCATCCTCGCCATTCTCTTTCCTTCCTCTAACCACACCACTCCTTCTCAAATTCCTGGCCTCTTCCATTGTTATTGTTACACACACACACACACACACACACACACACACACACACACACACACACACACAACCAACTGAGTCCAGTTAGTGCTGCTTATGTATATGGTGTCAGGGATGACCACTTGGTATTGGAGGACTAACCAATTAGGAGACTTGTCCTCAGGGGGAAGACTACTTCTCAGGCTCTCGCCATTTCTTAGTTCTTGTCTAGGAATGGGGCCTCATGAGATTTCCTCCTTCCATGTTAGTATGTCTGTTGATTTGTGCTTGTTCAGGTCTTGTCTAGGCAACCACATTGTTGAGGTACCATGGGTACAGTTTCCCTGCCATTCCTAGGAGACACAATCTCACAGTAGTTGTCCTGGTCCTCTGACCCTTACACTCTTTCTGGTCACCGAACATCAGGTGCAAGAGTTGTGTTGTAGATGCAGCCATGGGGCTGGGCATCCTATGGTCGGTTGCAGAAGTACAGAATTTTTTTAAAGTATGCATCAGCTCTCAAAAGTTTGTTCTACTGTAAAATCTAAAGGTATTATAGGAACATTGTGAGAAAATGAAACCGCAAACCCCACTAGCTATAAGCCATTTCCTGATGAGACCACTCAAGCAAGCAGAGATCAAACTGAAGGAGGAAACATAAAAACGTGTTTAACTTTAACAAATCCACTTAATTCCCACACTTTTATAGATGCTGAATGGCCAGGGGGCATAAGGCTACTGGATGAAAGCAGTGTTGATTCATTTCTATTTTGTAGGAAGGTTAAGAGCTGGGGCGGGGAGCCAAGGTCAGCAAGTATCTAAAAGAGTTTATGAATTTGTCACAAAATATTTAAACCAATGTGTCATAAACCCTAAGTGAACAGAACAATTCCATGCAATAAAAGACTCACAGGTGCAGTGAAAACCATCAAGAATGAGGCCTGGGGTTCGTAGGTGAGCCCCTGAAGAAAGGGAAGAGTTGCAGCTCACTATGGCCCCCTCCTTCTTGAATTCAAAGGAAGACAACACAGAAACTCCATTGACAGTCACCTGTTCCAAGAGAAGAATCTGCCAGTTTACAGGAAAAACTTCAGTGTCGTGGAGATTAGGAAGTACATCACACACACACACACACACACACACACACACACACACACACACACACACACACTGTTCAGGGATGACCATTTGAACAGGATAAAACAGTCTGTAAGAAAACCAAGTACGCCAGGTGGCGGTGGTGCACTCCTTTAATCCCAGCACTCAGGAGGCAGAGGCAGGTGGATCTCTGAGTTCGAGGCCAGCCTGCCCTACAGCGCGAGTTCCAGGACAGCCAGGGCTACACAGAAAAGAAAACTTGTCTTGAAAAGAAAAAGAAAGAAAGAAGAAAAGAAAAGAAAAGCAAGTACTCTAGCTTCTCAGAGCAACCTTCTCTCTCTCTGAGGGGCCATGATTTTCCCTTGGAAAACTCACCCACTCAATTTTAGCTTTTGTCTTATTATTCATGTCTTTTCCTGGACCAGTGATTCAACATGGACTGTGTGTTGTGTTATACAGTCCTTAGTAATCATTCTTTTGGTCACCAGGTCCTATTGCTCCTGCTCCTTTCTCCTTAATGTCTTTTTTGTTTTTATAGACAAGGTTTCTCTGTGTAACAGTCCTGGCTGTGCTGGAACTCACTTTGTAGACCAGGCTGACCTCGAACTCACAGAGATCCTCCTGCCTCTGCTTCCCCAGTGCTGGGATTAAAGGCATGTGCCATCACTGCCCATGGAGCTCCTTAATGTCTTTTTTTATTTCTGTGTTAACCACCATTCCCAGTTTCAAATCCATTCTCTTGCACTGATGAACTCTTAGATTATCTTCTTACCTGTATCGCTCTCCCATTCTAGCACGTAGCAGTAAATGCCAGATTGAAATGGTTGAAGTGTTGTTTTAATGTTACAGGACCAAAATACAGGGCCGGGGAGATGACTTGTTGTGCTGGTAAAGTGCTTGCTGCACAGACGTGAGGACCTGTGTTTGGATCTCCAGCACCCACATGAAAGCTGGGTGCTGTGATCTGTGCCTGTAATCCTAGCACTGGGGAGGTGGGACAGACAGAGGGATCCCTAGCACTCACCTGCCAGCTAGTCTAGCTGAGCTGGTGAGCTCCAGGTTCAGTGAGAGACCCTGTCTCAAAGAATGGTGTGGAAGGTGATAGAAGAGTATGCCTGAGGTCAACTTCTGTGCATGAATGCATGCATGTACATGCATCACACACACACACACACAATCTTTATTAAAGAATGAAAAAAATTAGTAGGCTATGGGAACAAATCTAGATTGCTTAGCTTGTCAGTATCAGCTGCCCTCTTCATCGACCGGCCTCACCCAACACTACCCAACCACATCACCCACAGACTGTTCCATTCCACCACCACCTCTTTTGTTGTTTTTACCTGTACCCCCAATTTTCACCAATAAAAATAAAGCCATCACACCCACTTACTCTTTCTGTCAGGACTCTTTCCTGCACCATTTCCCCACTGTCTTCTGAGTCCCTGTAATAGAATTACATTCAGCTTCATAAATTTTCTAAGTTTCTTCATATTTCTTATTCCTAAGTTTGAGAGTTTATTCCAAAGAGAACACATAAGACGACATGCCCTGTACTTCTAAATTATCAAAGGCAAAGACACTGTCTTCTATGCATTTGAGAAACTCAGTGTTTAACATGGTTTTGAGTATACCTGCAAGTCTGGGTGATAAAGTATGTTCTATGATGTGGTGAGAAATCCACTCTGACGTGGGTCTCTAGGGCACCAGTGCCTCAGTTCTGTTGCCTGGCACAGTCTATACTTCTGCTTTCTGGGCATGCATTTTCACTGTGCCAGAAGATGGGCCTTCCCTACACGGAGGCCCTGGGAACCAGGCAAACAGGGAGTTCCTCACTGAGAGCCTCTGCCCAGGCAGCAGGGCTACTGTTGAAGAGGGAGCCAGGCCCCTCCTAGAGTTCGGAGTCCAGCTCAAAGAGGCCACTGGTAGACACAAAGACAACCTTTTGACCTCAGGGACAGAGTGACTGATAAACAGACGCAGAAGAACCTTCTAGAGTCCCTCAGATGACGGTGTCTGACTTGTCATGTTTTCACATCATCCATGGTGGGACAATCCCTTAATCTGTTTCTTGTTTCTACAGCATTCTGGGACTTCATCAAGCTCTTCAGTTACTACTGCAGACTTTCAGTCGGTAACCTTCCCCCACAGACTTTCAGTTAGTTACCTTCCCCCACAGACTCCACAGAGTCTGGTTTACCTTTGGTTTCAGAATACTGGTAGGCAAAGGTCAGCTGGTAAGTTCTTGTAGTTGAAGCAATTTACCCTTCTTTCTTAAAAAAAAAAAAAAGAGATAAGTGTTCTTCATGTAGCTTGGTTTAAAGGTGTTTGAATGTGAAGTCTCATGTCAATCACTTATTCATTCGATAAATATTTATACTCTCCTTATAGATGCAAAAGAATGTAAAGGGATGCTAGGGACAGGTACAACAGCTACAGAAGTTAAGAATTCTTTCAACTAGGGGTGATAAACACAGAGATAGCTATGACTTGAGTATTCGTGATAAGAATCACAAAAGCACTAGAAATAAAAGTTTCTAGGAAAAAGTTCAGAAGCTGGCTATAGTGGTAAATCCCTGTGCTTAGAACACCGAGGAGACTGAAGCAGAAGGATCATGAGTTCCAGGCCAGCCTGGGCTACACAGGGAGTTCAAGGCCAGAGTTCATGGATATGTACTTAGGAAGAATGGGCATAAATAATATTTAGGAATTCCCTTTTTCTCCATGTACTGATTTGCATCTGTAAGGGACAAACTTAAGAAAAAATATCAAGTTAGAACCTTAGGAACTAATTCCAACCCACAGGAGTTTTAAATTGTACACAGCTCTTAAAATATCGCAGGCAGTAGGTTAAGCTCTTTTCAAAGTATATTGTTTCATTTATTTTTTCAACAACCTTGTGGCTCCTAATGATCTATTTTATAGAAGTGGAAATCAAAGCACAGAGGAATTAGGTCACTTGCCCAATGTCACATCATTAACCTATAGTGAATCCAAATTGTTAAAATCAGGCAGTCTGAATGAATTCTGCCTAAGGGGTAAAAAAATACCATAAAGTTCATCATCTGGAATCTGTAGTAACGTAAGGGTCAAAGGAGAATATCAAACATCTTAAATACTAGCAGAAGAGCTAACCTCTACTAAAGAGTAACAAGAAACTTCATTTCCGGATTATTAACGTATTGCTATTTGTCTAGGGAAACAGGAAATCAGCATAGTCTTGTAAAGTAAAAATATACTATCAGCACCACGTGCTCATTTCCCTACAAATGGCTAGCCAGGGGAGGAAGTGGTCAGCCTTGTTCAACTTCAGCCAAGTTACCAGTGCTTTAATCCTTAGTAAAAGGTAAGTGTGCTCTTTGGAATCAAATTGATTACTGTCTTCTAATTTGTTAGATTATTAAAAACACTGAGATACACAGATCATAGAAAACATAAGCTTTGCTTCATGTTGCTATTACTTGTAAGACTAATAAAATACATGCTATCAACTGCTCAGGAGAGATTTCTGATTGGCTAACGACTTCTGAGAAAGCATGGACTATACAAGAAACAGCTCTCCAAACCTAAGTTTTGAAGACAGGAGTTAAGTGTGAGAAGGCTCTGTGGGTAGAGGTGCTGGCCTTACCTCCAGGCAGGACCACCAGAGTTCAATCCTGGAATTCGCATGGTAGGAGAGAACTCACTCCTGCACAAGTTGTCCTTTGGCTTCCACATGTGTGCCATGGCATGTGCCCACACCCCATAAATAAATATCATTTTAAAAAGTTAAAGGCTTTAGTATCTTTAAATCTAAACCCTGTCTATTACTGTTTTACAGAAATTGTCAACATTATAATAGATTTTCAAATGCTCAACTTTGCTTTAGAGCAGGGATCAGCACACTGTGTCCACAGAAGGCCAGGTAACAGATAATTTAGATTTGATGGGCCATATGGTGTGTGCTATAATGATATTCAACTCTGCTGTTGCAGTATGAAGACAGCTATGAATAAGTGAGTATTGGTGAGTATCGCAACATTCCAGTAAAAACTTTAGTTACAAAAACAGAAAGCAGAGGCTAAAGAGATGGTTCAGTGGATAAAGGTGCTTGATGTGAATGAATAAGACCTAAGTTCAAATCCCATAGAACCATCTAAAAGTCAGGCAATAGACATAAGTGCCTGTAACCTTATCATTGGGGGACCAAGCTGGGTAGATCCCTGGAGGTTTGCAGACTAGTCAGCCTAGATGAAACCACAAGCTTCAGGTTGAATGAGAGATCCTGTCTCAAAAAGTAAGGTGGAGAGGGATAAAAGATACTCAGCCTCACTCTAACCTCCACTTGTGTGTCCAGGGGCATACATCCCAATGCACCACACACACACATCAAAAGACAGACAGCAGTCCAGATGTAGTCTGTGGTGTGTAATGCATCAATTCCTGTTCTAAAGTGATGGTCTCAGACTGTATGTATCAGACTCACCTGTGAAATTGAAAATGTGGGGTCCTATGGCCCTAGCCATCCTTAGAAAACTGGTCTCTAAGAATGGGTTCTGGGCAGATGAGCAATTCACTGAGGTTCATGAGTGGTGTATAAACCATACTTCAGAAAGTTCTGTAGTATTATTGTGGGATATCCACCAGAGAAGACTGCTTGGACATGGGTTTAAGCCAATAGGAAGTCTTCATTAAGCTGGGGCAGTGGTTGGTGCATAGCTTTAATCCCAGCACTCAGGATGCAGAAGCAGTTGGATCTCTGTGAGTTAGAGGCCAGCCTGGTCTACATAGCTAGTTCCAGGACAGCTAGAGCTACACAAAGAAACCCTGTCTTGAAAAAAACAAAAACAAAAAAGAAAGTCTTTGTTAGCTGGCCAGTGACTACATTGGGTGTTTGGGTGCAGGAAGTCGATGATGATGGCCTGGTCTAGCTGCCTTGAGAAGCATACATCATAGATTTTTCAGGTTAGAGTCCGTGACTCCTGGGGCACTGTGCGTCTTTCAGTTCCTGAGAAACCGAGGCACTCCCCCAGGCAGTAATTCAGACTGCCTGTGTTTCTCTGTGTTCCCTAGAAGTCAGAGAAGCATTAGAGACTTGACAGGACAATTAATCTTAGACATTAATCTTATATACCCTGTATAGCTTGCAAACGTCGTTGCAGCCAGGCAACTACAATTGTATTGATTCTAGAAAACTTCCATTGTATTCTGTTTCTGATAAAGGTATAAAAACTTATTGCTTACAATAAACTTGTCTCAGCCCTCAGTCTTGCTGAGACCCCTCTAGCCCATCTTAATATGGTTTTCATTTCTCACCAACCATATCAAAAAGACCCTGGCTTGGTAAGTAAGCACTGGGCACTTACATTTGGGATCCCAGTGTAGCATTGAGCCTTTCTCAGGGTGAGCTTTTTAAGCCCCAAAACCATATTCTGGGCTGACATATGTACTGGTTAGTTTTATGTCAACTTGACACAAGCTAGAGTCATCAGAGAGGAGGAAATGTCAACTGAGAAAATGTCTCCATAAGATCTTGCTGTAAGGCATTTTCTTAAATAATGATCAGTGGGAAAGGGCCAGCCCACTGTGGGGTGGTGCCATCCCTGGGCTGGTAGTCCTGGGTTCTATAAGAAAGCAGGCTGAGCAAACCATGGAAAACAAGCCATGAAGCAGCACTCCTCCATGGCCTCTGCATTAGTTTCCTGCCTCCAGGTTCCTGCCTTCACCTCTTTTGATAATGAACTGTTAAATAGAACTGTGAGTGAAATAAACCCTCTCCTCCCACAGTTGCTTTGGTCATGGTGTTCCATCACAGCAATAGTAGCCTCTAACTAAAACAATGTACTCCAGTTAACAAGAACAGTTAGCCAAAAGCAGAACTATCAAAGCCAAAAAGGTTAGTACATTTAGAGACTTTCCCCAGAACTATGGACTTTGATGAATTAGGTCCTTGTTTTCATTTTGGCCAATGATACTGTCTACATGCTGAGTTTTATGGTCTGAATGGTACTTTCATCATGGAGTCAGTTGTGCTAAGGTCTGGGGCCAACTAAGATCTGGGGGCCCCTGTTACCTTCCCCACTGGTCTTAGTGAACAAGTCAAATCATGGACTCATGCTGCTTTAGAGAGGTTGTACTTGGTCCTAAGGAAAATTAAATTTTACAGAATTGATACATAATTGGCCCATATAGTTTAAGATGTAGGACTCTGCTGTTAATCCAGCCAGAATGAGAATTAAAGGCCCCAGTCAGTACTGGTATCAGAGCAGCTAGCCAGAAGGGCCAATGAGAAATGAGAGATTGGTATCGATTCTTTGATTTATGTCTGTCTCTTTCTTTTTCTGAGGTTTTTCCCCAACCATGGCAAGATTTTATCTAAATACTCCTGATCAATTAGCACAGAAGCAACTGGTTTTCCCAAACCAAACTTAGTCCTTTGTCTCAGGAGAAGTAGGGGGTCTCTCCAACTTTGTAGGGCCATTTTTATAAGGGAATATAATTGCTGTTTTAATTCAGAAATGGAAACTTTTAATGCCACTAGATCCTGATCAATCTGTCTACTTACTTGGAAAGCATCAGAAGAGGCACATTTTAGTCAAACCATTAGTACATGCCCACCAGTCTCAGGGGCTCAGTGTATTATGGCTATAATCCAGATGAATTAACCCATAAGGTATAACAGCAGACATCAGAATAAGGAGAAGTGTCTAGATGGAAGGTTTTGGATATTAGACATAGTTTCAGTCCTCTAACGTTAATTTGGGCTGTTCTCCCCCAAGTCACAATGAGTTTTGTCAGTCAATGGACTGACAGTCTGGTTAGTTCCTATCCCTATGTAGTATATAGGCCGTGGGTCTAAGCAAAATCAGCAATCCTGGCCAGTTTATGACTAGGAAGTATTAACTAAGTGGTCAAGAGTGGGGAAAACAGGGACATCACGAGGTGGGACTCTGGCCCTGGGTGTGCTTAGGACCCAAGGTCTGGGGACCTGGCTGGGGAGCAATTTCTAGTAAATCTATCCCTAGAGTCCCTTCCTGTGGCATAGTCTGATTCCCCAGGTTTTCCCTGTTTCTCAAAGGCCAGAAAAAAAATTTAAGGAATTTTCCCGGAAGCCTCCATTTCACAACTCCAGTTTTTGTGACAGAAACTCCCTTGTTCTCGGCAACTAGGGGTGGGGGCAGCCACAGGGCATGCATAGAATTGTAAACTCTGTATTCTTATCTCAAAAGATAAACTCCCCTATCTTTTCTTTCTCCAGTACAACCAGACATTTAAAGAAGGCATCAGTGAACAAAGGTCAAGATAAATATGAGTTGCTAGTCTATAGTCACACTAGCTAATACCTTCCCTGCATCAGTCTTCCTTAGTTCCCAGGTCCAGGCCTGAGGGTAGTGGGGGTTAGACCATAACCCTGTGTTCATATCAAACACAAGTCTCAGGAGGTGGAGGGGCAGGGTGTGGAAGGGACTGATGCCTGATGAAATCTTGATCTTAATGGGTCCATAGTCAGGGAGACAGTCCCTTTGGCAGCAGTGTGTGTGGCTTCTGCTTTCCTGACCTGGGTGTGGTGGATCCATGGTGTAATGCCAGCTCTCTTCACAGCCATACGAGTGGGGAGAATCCCTGTGTAGAGTCCTTTTCAGGTTGGTTCTAGTACCCCTTTGGCTACGCATTTGGCCCAGATGGTATCACTGGGCTCAAACAAGGGGAAGTTGGTGGTGGAACTGGAGGCTGACTGAGTCTCTCAGCTAGTCCAGTGACCTGGAGTGCCTCAAGAAAGGCACGGCTAGAGAGTTCTGCCGACTGCTGGTCCGAGCCTGGGAAGCAGTGGTGGGAGGTCTTCAAACACAAACTCACAGGGAAGAAACCCCTCCCTGTATGGGGTGCAGTGGGCCGAAGCACAGCACAGGAAGGAGCTTTATTCCCCCTTCACGGGACTCTGAGTTTTGTTGGAGATTCTTTAACATCCTATTGTTGTTGTTTTGTTTTGTTTTTTGCCTGCCCAGAATTCTGAGGTCTACACACACAATGAAGTTTTCAATCTATGTCTAAGCTTTAGCTGTTAATTGAGAGCTTTTGGCTATGAAAGCCAAGGCCATTGGCCCCATTGCTAGAGATAGTCCTGGAGGAGCTTTTTCTTCTCTCTCTCTCTCTCTCTCTCTCTCTCTCTCTCTCTCTCTCTCTCTCTCTCTCTCTCTCTCTCTGTCTGTCTCTCTGTCTGTCTGTCTCTCTCTCTCTCTCTCTCTCTCTCTCTCTCTCTCTCTCTCTCTCTCTCTCTGTCTCTCTCTCGCTCTCTCTCTCTCTCTCTCTGAGACAAAGTTCCTCTTTACAACATCCCTGGCTGTCCTGGAACTCAATTTGAAGACCAGGCTGGCCTCAAATTCTCAGAGATCTGCCTGCCTCTGCCTCCCAGATTACTATTTGAGCAGTTTCAGTCTGAATGGGAAATGCTTCTACCCATCCAGAAAAGACATTTATAAAAACTAGAAAGTACTTTTATCCTCCCCTATCAGGCCAGATCTCAATGAAGTCAGTTTCCCCAAAGTTCAGCTGGGGTGTTGGTCTCTCATTTGGATCCCTTCCCTGGGTACCGGCTCTCTGCTTTGGATTCACTTGAGCGCAAAACCTGGCATCTGGCTGAGATATTCCCCCCATTAGGCTGTCCAGTCTAGGTATAACATACCTTGGTCTGAGCCACTCCGAAGGTTCTGTAGGACCCCAGATGAGCAGTCTAGTGAATGTCAGTTCCCAGAGTCCTTCCAGTCATTTCTGGGAGAATGATCTTTCCCTTCAGCATCCTTCACCAACCTGTGGGTTCAAGCTGTCCATTCCTCTCCTCGTTGGTGTGTACCATGGAGTCTCATGCTGCACCAGGTTGAAGTATGTCATCAGAATATCAATAGGCCCCACTGGTCTTAGGGCCTTTTGTCAGGCAGCCATGTCAGTTGCCCTGTTACCTCTTGCCTCAGGGAAATCATCTTTTTGATGTCCTTGAAGTGGACCAGTGGAGGATAGCAATATGTGGGGGAAGCCAAATAGCCCCTAGGAGGGCCGATATTTTCTCTGTGTTTTTAATGTCCTTTCCCTCAGTGGTGGGAAGCCCTCTTTCTCTATTGATCGTAAGTGTGGACATGTACAGTAATAAAAGCATGGTGACTGTGTGTATGTATGGTGGTGGACTCTCCTTTTTCCCTCCTGAGAGCCTGGGTCCAGATCAATCAGTTCTGAGCTCTAGGCTGAGGTCCCTGGCTTGGGCCCTAGTTTCAGTTAAAGTAACTACTGTGGCTCCCACATATCTGATCTCATCTTTCATCTCATGACAGTCATGGATGAGCACTTGTAGGTCATCTTCAGGCAAGAGGGATAGCAGGACTGATTGAGGTAGGTTTCTCAAACTGGACTCAAGCATGGCTCAGGAGGAGGGCCTGGTAATGGATCACTCAGGCAGTGTTCTGGTGTTCCCCAGAGGAGGGCCTCAATGACATGGTGTCTATAAGATCTTGACCCAGAGTTAACTTGTTTTTTTTTTTTTCATTAGACTAGCAGTAGCCCCCACAGTTCTTAGATAAGTGGGCCATCCTGTGGCTACAGGGAGATATGTCACAGGATGTTTCCACAGCCCCAAAGTTTGGGTTAAAACTACTTTTGTAATGTCTTTTCTTTCATGGACAAACAGATGAAAAGGTTTTGAGGCATCTGGAAGTGCTGGGGCTGAAGCTCAAGTCAGAGCTGTTTTTAAAGCCTCAAATGCCTTTTGTTTAGTCTTGGTCCAGGAGGGGCTCGGTGCTCTGCTTTGTGCTGGTGTATAGAAAGCCTTACTAGTCTACAAAACTCTGGTATCCAGAGGCAGCAATATCCTGCTGCACTAGGAACTCTCAAACCTGCCTCTTAAGTCTTTGGAGTTGGGGTCTGAAGGATGGTAGCAATCCTACTCTGAGACAGGCCACCCTTTGCCTCCTCTCAGTTGGTAAGGCAGCCTCTGATGTACAAAGTTGGGCTTTCTTAGCTGAAATTTTGTAGCCCAGGGTCTGTAACTCTTGCAGCAGTCCCTCAGTGGCCTTTTTATAGTCTGTTTTCCCAGGAAACCTCTGATGGAAGGGCAGGAGGTCAGGATTTAGTGCCTTAGGATTTTCAGAGAGGAGATATTCTTTCAACAGAGGGCAAAAGCACCAAAGGTTGCTGGGTATCTGTAAGTCTAACTGCATACCATCATCAGAGAAGGTGATGGTGTTAGGCAAAAGGTCTTGTCCTCATCAGTTCTCTGCTGTTATACACCATTTAAGATACCTCCAGCAACTGGAACCTACTTATACCTTTAACTTTTTTAACTCTTATAGCTCTTTTCTAATATCTGGGGCCTACTGGGTGACAAAGGAAATGTTCTTAGTGGCTGTATTTAATCTTCCGAAAAGGACTCCTTGGTCAGTGTTGGACGGAAGGGAAAAATCGCTCTGTCCAGGCAGTGATTCCACCCCCACCAGCCTGAGGGCAATTCTTCTTTTCTTTTTCAGTGAATGGTGGATTTTGAGTTTTCCAATCATATGGATCATTGACTGCAAAAAAAGACAAAAATCATGAAAGAGGAAGGAGGGGAACTTGCCCTTTGTCCCTTGCTGTGGGATGTTCTGTATGGCAAATGTGTTGCCTAATTAGTCAATAAATAAAACACTGATTGGCCATTGGCTAGGCAGGAAGTGTAGGCGGGACAAGGAGGAGAATAAAGCTGGGAAGTGGAAGGCTGAGTCAGAGAGACACTGCCAGCCGCCACGATGACAAACAGCATGTGAAGATGCCGGTAAGCCACGAGCCATGTGGCAAGGTATAGATTAATGGAAATGGATTAATTTAAGCTGTAAGAACAGTTAGCAAGAAGCCTGCCACGGCCATACAGTTTGTAAGCAATATAAGTCTCTGTGTTTGCTTGGTTGGGTCTGAGCGGCTGTGGGACTAGCGGGTGACAGAGATTTGTCCTGACTGTGGGCAAGGCAGGAAAACTCCAGCTACAGTCCCTTCTCTGGGACTTAGAGCAGGCAGGGGAGTGGAGGGATGTACACCTAAGGGAACATTCAGCTCAGAAGGCAGGGGGCCCAAGACGAGACTGACAGCCTCTCCCTGACTCCACACAGGAACCAACCTGGTGAATGGGACTCAAGTGACAAAACAAACGAGTGTTCCAGGGTGAGACAGGCAGAGTTGGGGGGGGGGGGGGGGCAGTGTCTCTGGGTGACCTGGCAGAGCCAAAAGGAATCAGGTCCCCAACAAGAAGAGGCACAGGTCTTAAGCCAGAGGGGTGTCTCAGACCAGAGAAAGCCACTGGTCAACAATGGGAAATAGAACTGACAGAAACACATAGAGAGACACCCAGTAAAAACAACCAGGGGTGGCCACCACACACTCACACACCTGAACGAACCCAGGGGAATCCAGTGACATCTCACACAGATCCTGGACACTGGATCAGCGGCCATGTCCGACCTCTCCTATGCGTCTAACCAGAAGGCACCTTAACCAGACTTACCTCCAGAAGTGACAGACCGAGCGACTTTCTAATTTGTCTCCTTTGGGGGTGGAGGTGTCAGACTCCTCTAAAGTGTTAGGCAGGGATTGATCACAGAGGCTCCTGGGGGCCTAGAACTCAGGTTGTGCACTCCCTAGGAGTTCCTTGGCCACTGCACTCTTTCTTGCTCCAAGGGGCTGAGACCCCTGGTGTCTCAAGGTCTGGTCTCTGGGGATCTTGGTGGGACCTGCAGAAATGTTGTGGGGTGTCCACCAGAGAAGACTGCTTAAACATGGGTTTAAACCAAAAGAAAGTCTTTATTAGCGGCCAAGGACTACACCAGGTGTTTGGGATCCCAGTGTAGCACCAGGCCTTTCTCAGGGTGAGCTCTTATGCACAAAAACCATGTTCTGGGTTGATATACTTCAGTTAACAAGAGCAGTTAGCCAGAAGTGGAACTACAGAACAGAAAGCAAGGTTAGTACATTTAGAGACTTTCCCAGAACTATGAACTTTGGTGGATTAGGTCTTTGTTTTCATTTTGGCAGATGATACTGTCTATGTGCTGAGTTTTATGGCCTGAATGGTACTTCCATCATGGAGTCAGTTGTGCTAAGATCTGGGGGCCTACTAAGGTCTGGGGCCCTGTTACCTTCCCCACTGATCTTAGTGAACGAGTCAAATCATGGACTCATGCTGCTTTAGAGAGGTGTACTTAGCCTGGCGGTGGTGGCACATGCCTTTAATCCCAGCACTCGGGAGGCAGAGCCAGGGGATCTCTGTGAGTTTGAGGTCAGCCTGGTCTACAAAGTGAGATCCAGGACAGGCACCAAAACTACACAGAGAAACCCTGTCTCAAAAAAAAAAAAAAAAAAAAAAAAAAAGATGTGTACTTGTTCCTGAGGAACATTATTAATTTTACTAAACTGATACATAATTGGCCATACATTTTAAGATGCAATTTTATAGCCTGAATGGTACTTGCATCATGGAGTCAGCTGTGCTATGGTTTGGGGGACTTCTGAGGTCTGGGGCCCTGTTACAGTATGTAATTAGTATCAGCCAAGCTGGGGCGGACCAGCGGTCCTGCACATGGGCCAGCACTTCCTACATCCTGACAATAAAAACACAATAGCTGTTTCATCTTTCTTTGATATTTTCAGTAGGAATTTAGATGAATAAACCGCTAATTATGCCCTCAAATCTCTAGAATGGATGAATAAATTCTGCTCAGGTAAAATAAACATGAAACTTAGGGTGGATCTGAAAGAAAATCCTTTACTTGAAGAAATAAGATTTTTAACTAAAAACTGACATCCTTTAGATTCCAAAATCACTAGCAGACAAAATTCTCAACAAAAGACAGGGTTAAATCTGAAGAAAACATTTATGATGTGCTGTCTCCTTCAAAATATCTCCAGCAAAGGTCTGCCTCGGTGCTTGAAATGTCACTACTAAGAAATTACTTTGTCAGGAGGTCTCTGTTTCAACAAACTCTTACTGAAACCCAAGTAAGAACAGAAAGTGTAATATTACTGGAGCCGGCTAGGGCCGCTCCCAAGTAAGAACAGAAAGTGTAATATCACTGGAGCCGGCTAGGGCCGCTCCCAAGTAAGAACAGAAAGTATAATATCATTGGAGCTGGCTAGGGCCGCTCCCAAAGTCAACAATCAGTAAAAAACGTAACACTGGACATGTTGAAGAAAGCGTGTTTTAATTGTCAGACATCGGAGAAGTGATGTTCAGTCTGGGGGCAAACCCCACTTCTTCAGCTCTCCAGGTTTTCCTAGGAAGAACATTGAGAATCTTAGTCAAAAAGATGGTCCTTAAGAACTATCTAAGAATCCAGGGAAACATCTGCAAATATCTCCTGGAACTACCACAGCTTTTACAACAACTTCTATTGATCCCAGAAATGGAAAAAAATACTCTAAGATAGCGGAAACGCTGCAGATTATTAAGATATAGGCTTAGTGTTTGTTTTCTAATGAGAGGCAACAAGAAATGATGTGAATTTGAGTAGGTGGATGGGGAGGTGTAGACCAATAAGAGAAATAAATTCCCAAACAAAGCAAAATGAGGCATAAAGTCTACAAAAATACCATTAAGTTTGTTTTGTATTGACCAACTACTCCTGGGCATGGAGCCTACCTTGAAGTGTGGTTAATATACCCAGTGAGACTCCATCAGAAAAAACTAAAGTTTACTTTGCCAGCAGGTATCAACTGTGGTTGGCTTTTTGGATAGGGGTGGAAGCCTGTGTCCACTTCCCTGTCTCAGGGCTGGGATTACATAGGCTTGAACCTATGCAGGCTGCCTCAGTCTCTTGAGTTCATATGTGCATTAGCCCTGTTGTGTCTGAAAGACACTGTTTCACAAACTTGTTTTTCTTGGTAACATTAAGATGATTCTGGGAGCTGGGAAAATGTCTTGGTAGGTAGTAAAGTGCTTACCATGAGCTCAAGCATGAGGATATGAGTTCAGATCCCCAGAGCACGTATAAAGATGGATGTGATAGTATATGTCTGCAACCCCAGTGCTCCTACTGCAAGGTGGAAGGCAGAGACAGAATTCCAGACACTCATGGACCAGCTAGCCTGGCGTATGCAATGGAACCACAAGGAGACCTTGTATCAAACATAGTGAAAGGCAAGGACTGACATCCAAGGTTGTTCTCTAGCCTCCACATGTGAGCTGTGCCAGGCACATACCTGAATTCAGGAGCATACATACACATATCACAGACACACAACACACACAAGATTATTTGAAATTTCCTTAACACATATGAAAGATGTTAAAGAACAAAGGCTCAGAAATTTACCAGGAAGCAGAATAAAGCCAGGCTGAGATGAGCATTCCACCATCAATATACTTTATAGCTAATGGTAGAGATTGGCTTTACAGCCACTGTTACAGTCAGTGGTCAACATTTCAGGCAGTATTGTCCAACCCTCGCAGACTGAGCTTTGATTTCCTTTTTCCATGACAACTTACAAAAAAGGTTAATAATTAAGAGTCTCAGTTATAAACCGAAAGCAGCACAAATGCCTAGCAAAGTATGGGGCTTAATAAAACTTACCCATCCTCCCTGGCCCTGGATAAATTCTCGGATGGCTGTGTTCTCATTGATCATGCCCGTCATGGAGTTAGCCACCTGTCTTCCCATCTCAGGAGCCTTATGGACCACATATTCAAGAAGTTTCACAGACACTGCCAGAAAGGCTCTTTCAAAAGTGAGGGTGGGGTTTTGAGCACACCAGGTCACACTGAGAGACTGTACTGTGTCCTTGAGTATAGTTCCTGCCTGAGAGGGAGACAGGATGTCAGGATCACTCAAACAGTACTGGGGTCTTCAGGTCTAAGAAGTGTTCTTCAGGATGTGGCAGATGTACCACAGGTCGTATGAGGGAATATTAGAGGGCAGATGGACACATTCCTTAATTTTAGCATTTTGTTACTTTAATATTAGAAAAAAAACATTAACCCATCAAGCTCATAATTTCAGCTATCATTGGGTAGAATGAACAACATATTTTGAAAGAAACCTATTAAGCACATGACAGTGAGCACATCAGACTATAAAGGCATTATTTCTATGATAAGGAAGTGTATAGCAAAGTTTAAAGTTAAAACAAACACAAACAAAACCTCTTATTTTTCCCCTCCCAAATAAATTGGTACAAAAGCTATTAGGTGGAGCCAAAGTACATCTTTGGGGTATGCAGGGGCCCAGTACTCCAGTACTGGTTAGAGCAGAATGTTAAATCCTAAAAAAGCTAAGAAAAGGAAAAGCTTTGGAAGGAACCTACCTCTGAGGATTTTATTTGTTGTTTTTACATTTATGTATTTACTTACTTATTTAATGCGTGTGTGCACATGCCCCAGGGCTTAGGTGTTAGTCAGAGGACAACTTGCAGGAGTTAGTTCTCTCCTTCCACATGTGAGTCCTGAGGGCTGAACTCAAGCTCTCGTAGCGGCCAGTAATTTCACCCAGTCACTCTCACTGGCCCTATATCTTAGTTTCTAAGTATCATTTTTTCACTGACTACCAGCTTGTATAAGACCTTCTGCTAGAAATTAAGCAAATTTGAAACATGACAAAGAGACGAGTCATATGGTTCTATCAACAAGAAAGGACAGACTCAACTTTATTCAGGGATATTCAATAGCATTTCCCATCATCTTCAAATGTCAAGGTCCTAAAATGTAAGAAAAGACTGAAGGATCAATACAGACTGAAGGAGACTAGAAAGCTATAACTACATGACACATATGAACCTGGCTGGGATTTGTTGCCATTGTTGGAGGCCAGATAGTGGTGGTGCACGCCTTTAATCCCAGCACTCAGGAGGCAGAGGCAGGCGGATCCCTGTGAGTTCAAGGCCAGTCTGGGCTACAGAGTTCCAGGAAAGGCACAAAGGTACACAGAGAAACCCTGTCTTGAAAAAACAAAAAATAAAAATAAAAATAAATTATATTGTTGGAACAAGTGGCAAAAATTGAGTAGACTAGCCAGGCAATGGTGGCACCTTTAATTCCAGAACTTGAGAGGCAGAGGCAGGTAGATCTCTGTGAGTTCGAGGTCAGCCTGGTCTACAGAGCTAGTTCTAGGACATCCACATCTACACAAAGAAACTCTGTCTCGAAAAATAAAACAAAAAATCAGTGGACTCTGAAGGATTCAATACTACTATATCACTATATCAAAATTTCCTGGGTTTTATGATTACATTGTGGTTCTATAAAATAATGTTCTTACTTGGAGGAAGTATAAAAGTATTGAAGAGTGAGGAACTATCCTATTAATTACTCTCAAATGACTGGAGAAATTCTCTATACCACCCCCATTGTGCGGTGTATCTAATAACCCTTTCACATGGGTCACCTGAGACCATCAGAAAACACAGATGTTTACATTATGACTCATAACAATAGCAAAATTACAGTTATGAAGTAGCAACGAAAATAATTTTATGGTTGGGAGTCACCACATTAGGAACTGTATTAAAGGGTTGCAGCATTAGGAAGGTTGCGAACCACTGATCTATACCATGCTTCCAACTTGAGTTTGAAACTGTTTCAAATGTCTTTTTTTTCCCTTGTTGTTGTTGCTGTTACTGTTTTGTTTTGTTATTGTTCTAAATACAGAATAAAAGTAGACCTGGCTACCAGTCACATATGACAGTCTCAGGGCCAGCAGCTGGAAGTAAGATTCTGTCGGGATGTAACACAGGTATATACTCTAGGCTGTCCATTAGGAAGAATAAAGTGTGCTTCTGAAATCAGACTGGGTTCAAATCTTAGCTTCAACATTTACAGAGTAAGTTGCTTACTTGTTTCCTTATGCCTCCATTCTTTGTGTGCTTGCATGGTACCAAGTCAGGAAGTACAGATCGTGGGTCTATTGTGTATAAGGCACAATTCAAAACCATGTGAATACAGGAAGGAGGAAGACAGGTTTGATATTTGCTCTCATGGAGTTATATGCTAATTCAGAGAGGTTGCGCTAAGAATAGCAGCTCTATAATAACCCACATATGAGGGCAATGATTAAACAATGAAATGTGATCATGCAAAGTAATAAGTACTAGCTGTTGTTTTTATCTAATCAACATGTACTGGAACACTGTCTTATGATCTTTATAGCTAATACAAAGCCCAAGTGCTACTGCCAGTAATCAGAGTTCTGATGGAAAGCCAGCAGACTGCTTTAAGGGTTTATCTCAAATTGCATCAGACTTCTAAACTAGCCAATATTTCTGAATCTCACTATTGGACCCCGGGATGAATGGAGAGGCCCACTCCCAGCAAAGTTAAGCATTAAAAATATGAATAATGGGGCTGTTGAGATAGCTGAAGAATTAAAGATACTTGCCACACTAACATGGTAACCTGAATTCAATCCCTGAAACCTACACAAAGGTGGAAGGGAAGAACACCACAAAATTGTCCTTTGGCCTCCACGGATACACAGTGGCACATGTGTCCCTCTCCCCACACCACACACACACACATACACACGTAATAATAATAATAATAAATCTACATAAAAATTATTTTCTAAGAATAATAAACTATGAGCATGATCTATGCACACTAAGGGCAGCTCTGATGAAGCCTATGAGTTCCTTCTATACTACTGGCTTTTTATTAATGTCTAAAGAATTAGCAATCACATTTCCTTCTATAGCTTCTTGAAACATAAACCTCCAAATCTTCACAGAACATTTCTATTCCTAGGATATAGAAGTAAAAAAGGAAGGAAGGAAGGAGAAAATTTAAGTTTGAAATAGAACAAACAGCAGACAATATTAAAAATCAAAAGCCTGACCTGTCCTTGAATGGTTTTTGCAATGACATTATTGGCAGAAGCTTCCAATTCTCCATTGAACTCGTCACCCAGCATTCGAAGGCGGCCAGCAATAATAGACACATCAAAAGAGCAAGCCTCTCCTAAAACAGAAAAAATACTTTGACTGTGCTGGGACATCTCCTTAATCTGGGCAAAAGAGAAACATTCTCAAGTCTTATTTTTTGAGACAGGGTTTCTCCGTGTAGCCCTGGCTGTCCTGGAACTCACTCTGTAGCCCAGGCTGGCCTCGAACTCACAGAGATCCACCTGCCTCTGCCTCCCGAGTGCTGGGATTAAAGGTGTGCGCCACCACCGCCCAGCTCCATTCTCAAGTTTTTTAAACAATTTTGGCATTATTTGTTCTCAGTAGTTGCAGTCAGACAATCTTCTTTATTGAGAAGCTCTTTCCTTTCAAATGTTGCCAAAATTTTAGGACTTGCCTTTTAAAACTTAAGAGGAAGCAGAGAAAGCATACTCTGATTCCATTATCCACCTGTAATCACCTCAGACTAGGAGCCTTACCTGAATATGGTTCATCTGCCTCCGGTAGGTTCCAGTTAGCAACCTGTAATGTTGGGGTCAAAAAGTCTATGAGGAGAGCATTCATGATGCATTCTGTTTGCTCCTCAAAAGTCCGGGGGTTCTTCATTTTAGACATTTTCCACAAAACAAGTGGGTTCCAGCTCAGCAGGTTAGAGAACCTGGCACACCAGTTGCGCCTGCCTACCTCTCACTGTTTGTTTCCTGATTGGAGATGTCCTAGAGTCATTCCCACTAACTTTTTTTTTTTTTTCAAAAAGGTACACATTCTCGCAAGACAAGGAATTTTTAGTTCCGTCTCTGGACCACACCCTCACCCAGTACATAAGATTAATGAGTAGCTTCTATAGATAAAGAATCTATAACTAAAATAGAATTGAGGAAGAGTCTCTTGAGTAATTTTCTTAAGAAATACTTCCTGGAGCTGACCGCCACCACTGGGGGAGGGGAGGGCGGATGGGCTGTGAAGGGGGGGCGAGGGTTGGAGGGGTGGGGGTTGGGGGGCTGGGGTGCTGGCAGGCTGGCTTGTCCTCCCTACCCAGGCCCTTACCTCGCCCTGCTTCTGCAGAAGGTTTCAACACTAAATTTGCACAATGTCTTTAACCAAGTGTAGTGGTTTTTGATGAAACACGGAACAACTTCTTAACTACAATCAAAGCTGTTGTGACGTTGGAATATGTTGAGAGAGCAACATGGAACAACCATTTCTCAGATAACTCGCTTTATGTGTGGCCTATCCTGAACCACTTAGCAAAAGACTTTATGCAGAAACAATGATTTTTGTTTTTGGAAAATCACGTTCGGCATTTGTACAAGAGAATTCTGGAGTCAGCAAAGGAGATGACTGAGATTGAAGTGGAGAACAAATTCACCAATTTCATCACTGTTTTCAAACATATCGGTGACAAAAATATCTTTCAGAAGTTCTATACAATGCTAGCAAAATTTCTAATTCATGGGTTGTCTGGAGAAGCCATGATCAAGAAATTAAAGCAAGCCCGTTATAATGAGTTTACTAGCAATCTACATCAGATACACACAGACATGAGTGTCAGTGCCGATCTCAACAATAAGCTCAAAATGTTCATCAGAAACCAAGACACAGGGATGGACTAGAGGATTAGTTCCCAAATATATGTCCTTCAGGCTGGTGCATGGCCTCTCGATCAGGCTCCTTCATCCACATCTGCAATTCCCCAAGAATTAGAAAAAGTGTACAGATGGTCAAATTATTCTACAGCCAGCATTTCAGTGGAAGGAAACCGGCGTGGTTGCATTATCGCTGTACAGGTGAAGTTAAAATGAACTATTTGGCAAAAACGCATGTAGCTATGGTTATGGCCTATCAAATGGCAGTTCTTCTTTCTTGACCTTAACAACAGTGAAACTGCCAGGTATAAAGAACTTCAAGGTAGCACCCAGATGAACAAAAAGGAGCTGACCAAAATGGTCAAATCATTACTTGAGGTAAAAATGATTAACCATGATTCAGAAAAGGAAAATATCGATGCGGAATCTTCATTTTCATGAGATATGAGCTTCAGCAGTAAGAGAACAAAATTTTAAATTACTACCTCAACAAAGAAGGATACACCACAAGAACTGGAACAGACTAGAGGTTCTGTATCTCCAAACTGCTATCGTCCGCATCATGAAAGCACACAAACTGCTTTGGCACAATACCCTCATTCCAGAGGTGATCAGCCAGTCAAGAGCCGGGTTCAATCCCAGTGTTATCAGCATGATTGTGAGGTGCACAGAAGTTCTGGTAGACAAGCAGTACACTGAGCACAGACAGGCGTCTGCACATGAACAGTTACAGCGTGCGACACCCTGTCCTGGTGCGGGTGTTAGATTATTGCCGTCACCATTTGTGTGTTCGTGGGGGAAAAGCAGGCCTGTGCCTCCACACTTTGGTCATTTGGCAGCCCCTGTGTTTCTGCTGTTACAACGTCACCGGTGCCACATCATGAGCATCAAAGACAGTGAATGCCTAGAGCTTTTTCAAGATCATGTCATTATGACATTTCTTAAAACTTTATTTAAAAAACTGAAAGAAATATTGCTGAAATGTGGAATTTTGTTGGGTACCATGCTTTCTCCTCTTCATACTTGCAGTTGATGTGTTTTTGTTTTTATTTTTTAATGTATCTTAAAGGACACAAAATAAAAACTTAACTACTGTAATATGACAATAACCTTATAATTGTATCTACCTTAAAATGACAAACATGTTGCTGCTTGTCAAAAAAAAAGAAAGAAAAAAGCAGAATTCACTTTTCTTTTTTGTTTTTTAAGATTCATTTATTTATTATGTATAGTGTTCTGCCTGCATGTACACTTGTATGCCAGAAAAGGGCACTAGGTCTCATTATAGATGGTTGTGAGCCACGATGTGGTTGCTGGGAATTGAACTCAGAATCCCTAGAAGAGCAGCCAGTGTGGTCTTAACCACTGAGCCATCTCTCCAGCCCCCAGAATGCCTTTTTCTTAAAAAAAGAAAGAAATACTTCCTGTTAGGTTCTGTATCTGATATAATTTAAAGGGAAGTTTTTGAAGCTATGAAAGACCAGCATTCAACTTCTGATTAGGGCATTCCTTTGGCACAATTAGACGATGATTATTCACTAAGCACTTATGTGTAGAATACTATACTTGGCACTATACTATACCGACAACATGGAAAAGTGGCCTGGTTCCTTGAGAAGCTTACACTTCAGCAGAGGTGACAGCTGGTGACAAGTCACATAACTTCTTGTGCTCCTGAGATACAATGGACTAGGAGAGTATAAAAGGGAAGCAAGCTTGGGGCCTGGTAAAGGTTTCTTAGAGTAGTAACGTCTGGGGTTGGTTCCAAAAGATAACAGGGATTCATTGAGCAAAAATAAAATAAATAAAGGAATAAGACTGATGTGGAAGAATGACAAAGATAAAGGCTAGGAAAGTGGAGGAAAATCCCTGCTCAGGCTTTTGAAGAGTCAGAGTGATGAGAAAGTATTTCAAAGGGAAATCATATGAATTAAGATAACATGATGGGAAATGAGTTAACACTATCTGATATGTGGTAGATGTTAAATATCCTCTGGTTAGCCCAATGTTTAGTGATCAGGAAACGGAGATTTGTTTTTTAACGATGAGTTTGTTCTAAAGGATTAAATTTCATTATTGTTTTAGAAGATCTCAGGATTGAATACTCACCTGTAGTGGATGCCTACATGTCTTTTTGTGAGCCTTAGCCTTTGATGGCTGAGCCATCTCTCCAGCCTAGGCTGCCTTCTTAAGGCAGCTAACCCCAAATTTGAGATCTGAGTCTCAGATGCATCACTCAAACCTCCCAGCCGACCTAACACCCAAATTTGTCTTTCACAGTGAAATTAACAGCTTCAACCATAACAATAAGAGATTCAAGCATGAACAGTAGGCCAGTTATTCAGAATGGGATTTCATCATACAAAATAATCATATATTCTCTTTTCTGCCCATTCTAAAATAAATAAATAATGCACACCTATTAGACTGGCCAAAATCCAGAATGGGGCACCACCAAATGCTGGAGAGGATGTAAAGTGATAGGAACTCTCATTCACTCCTTGTGGGAATGTGAGTTTGGCAATTTCTTTAAGAAAAAAAAAAGAAAGAGAAAACCTACAGCATTTGTATTACCATATAATATAGGAATTACACTGTAGATGAATTACTAAACAGTCTTAATAAATGAAAACCCAGAGCCAGATATAGGGGTGAAAACCTGAGAGATCAGAGGAATAGGAAAAGCCATAAGCTAACCTCCCCTCACTGACACCTCAGTCTCCAAAGAGACTTACTTCCTGTACACCCACGCCTATACGCCTTTCTGTTCTGCTGTATCATTTGCTCTCTTCATCCAGCTACATCACTTCATCTTCCGCCCAGCTCTGTCACTTTCTGTCTGTCTGAACAGGCCTCCAGACCTCCATGGTTAACTAATGTTGGAATTTAAGGCATGTACCACCACGTCTGGTTCTGTTCCCAGTGTGTCCTTGAACTCACAGGGATCTAGATAGATCCCTGCCTCCCAAATGATAGAATTAAAGGCATGTGCTACCATTGCCTGACTTCTATATTTACTATAGTGGCTGGCTTTTTCCTCTGATCCTCAGATAAATTTTATTGGGGGACATAGTATATTGGGGAACACAATACATCACCACATTACACTCCTTGATTTTACCTAAAGAAATGAAATTTTATGTGAAAAAAAAAAACCCGCTTGTGGATGTTTATGAAAGCTTTGCTTATTTTTGAGGTAGGTTCTCATGTAGCCGGGGCTGACCTCTAATATACTACGTAACCAACAATTACCTTTTTCTTTCATCCTGCTGCCCCCACCTCCCAAATGCCAGAACTGTGTGTCTACCACCACATCTGGCTTGTGTGGTGGGAAGCCACCTAGGGTTTTATATATAATAGGCCAGCACTCTACCAACTGAGTTGCATCCCCAGCCCTGTTTATGAAAGCTTCAGTGGAGGAATGAGTAAATCAACGGCGATATATCCAGACAATGAAATATTATTCAGCACTAAAACGATAAGCTAATTAGCCATGAAAAGAAAGATGGAATTCAAGTAACTGGACTTTGCTACACAATTGACGAGGTAAGTTCAGCAATTACAACAAATGTTCCAGTCTGACTGGGTCCTCTCACATCAATCATTAATCAAGAAAATAACCCACAGACATGCCCACAGGTCAATCTGACAGAGGCAATCCCTCTCTCGAAGGTCCTCTTTCCAGATCAAGTTGACAAAAACTAACCATGGTAGTCACTATTAAGTTGTTTTCATACCTTTAACATCAGATAAGCTCTCACAGTTTTCAGGATCTGAATCAGTGAGTCATGTTTCTAAGCTGGTTTTGATATGTGGGCTATGGATATGAAATGAAAGTTACAAAAACACTGTGGGTCTAATGTGTTTTCAACTAAGAAAAATATTAACTCTTGTTTGAACTTTTTTTCTTGTATCAAGTGTATTAATAAATTAGTATACAAAGTTGACTATACTAAAAGAACTTTGTTCTGACTCCTTTACTTAACAAAGAGAGGGAAAAGGAGGGAGGAGGAGAGGGAGAGGAGGGAAGGGGGAGGGGGAGAAGGGAACAAAGAGCAATAGCATGAACACACAGGTACCCTCAGTGAAATTCTAGGACATAGCTCTCTTCACAGTAGAGGCAGCCACTGGAAACTTAAGGACTGTATCAAATGCATTTATGACATACTCCCAAAACAGTACATAGGAACAAAAATGGGGGCCAGAGAGCTAGCTCGGCAGTTAAAAAGCACTTTGCTGCTCTTGAGGAAGACATAGGTTCAGTTCCCATCACTCACTTGGTGGCTTACAATCCAGTTCTAGGGGATCTGGCATCCTCTTCTGGTTCATAGAAAGTTCATAGCACTAAGTGCCTACATAAA